GCTTCCCTCTCGGCTGGGAGGAACGACTGAGCAAGGCTTGGGAAGACCGTCCTTAAGGATCACCGCTGTACTCTAGTAGCTATTTCCAAAAGGTAAATATTGTAGTCTGTCCTAGCAAAAGCCCTAAGGATTCCGGTGCCCCTTTAAAGATTAATTGGTTATAGCACAGCTGAATGACTATTACACGGCCAAAGAGCCCGAAAAACCCACAACAACCATTACACTTAGCTACCCTGTTTCCCCGAAAATAAGACAGGATCTTATATTAATTTTTGCTCCAAAAAACGCATTAGATCTTATTTTCATGGGGTGTCTTTATTTTTTTTTCATGTATGGCAATCTACATTTATTCAAATACAGTCCTGTCATCATCTTCTGGTTGCGGCACAAGAATGGAGGGCAGGCTTTCATTTAACTGGGGCTTATTATTGGTTTAGGGCTCATATTACAAGCATCCTGAAAAATCATACAAAGGCTTATTTTCAGGTTAGGTCTTATTTTCAGGGAAACAGGGTATTTACACTTATGCTACAATAAAGCACCATGGAACTCTATTGCTCTTGGTGGTCGCGTTTGTCCCGAACCAATTCTTTGTAATACTTCACAAATTGTGTAGAAAGGGAAAGGAAGGGCAATGTCCTCTGTTGGTTTTACCCATGTGTAGACAGTGTTCATAGATACTTCATGTTTTGATTTGTATTATTTATTGGCTGCTGTTGTGAACCTGCTGTGGAAATGATCAGGTAGATGAAACAGAATGCAACAGAGTGAGGGTGGGGGTCGGGTGAGCAGCTGATGGTGAGACGGGATGGGTATAAGAGATCAAGAATAGGAGACTGACAAAAGTAGCTTTAGTATCAAATTTATTGTAAGCACTTATTTTATGCACCTGTGTGAGGGTTTTTCCTTTATGATGGGTTGATCCATCCCTCGTGGTCATGGCAGATTAGACACCCAACATTTATTTTGAGAACCGCAAGAAAACTATGTAAGTCAACTTTAGTCTTTAACAACTCTTCAGAACACAATGGAGTAATAAATGGGTTTTTCTCATGAACTAGGAAGGGGATCTGGCAGGTGTGGTCCCAAAGTTATCCTACATCTTCTGTCTCGTAAGTTCATCAGCGCTGGTTCTGGTGATGACAGCAACAGGGACAATTGTTCTCCCCGGGGAGTCTTGGGTGTGTATGGGCTCATCTCTCAGGTGTGGAATTTCCCAGGTTCCTGGGCTGTATATCTCACCAATCCGGGCCTATTTATCCATCTCTCCCTTTATTTCTTTTCTCCATCTTAGCCCTTTCTTCTGTGATCTTTCTTCCCCACTCTCATGCCTCTTTTCAGGTACCTTCTCTCTCTGCCTCTTGTCAGCCTCTTCCCATGGCACCATCAATCTCTCCCATTTATGGGTGCATGGCTTCTCAACTCAGATCCATTCCCACCCCGGGGGCAGGATAAGGAGAAGGTGGCATAGACTTCCACTTCCTGTTCCTGTTAGACAGAGCTATGAAAGCCATGGAAGAGCTGTTTATAGAGCTATGAAAGCAATAGAGGAGCTGTTCATAGAGCATTAACAGCTCTATAGTCTACATACAGTGGTACCTCGACTTACGAACGTCTCCACTTATGAACATTTCGAGTTACGAATGGCTCTGTTTGCAAAATTTTGCTTTGACTTGCAAATGGAGCTTCGACTTACAAACAAAAATAACCCTTTCCTGTCCTTTTTTTGACCTAAGTTCATCTTAGGTCAAAAGAAGAAAAAAATTAAAAAAATTATCCCCCTAGTGGTAGAGTATAGACTAATCGGCTTTGCATTTGTTCCTATGGGAACGAATGCCTCTACTTGCGAACAACGCCTCGACATGAGAATGAAAAACAGCCGGGATGGATTAAATGGTTTTCAATGCATTCCTATGGGAAATTTTACGAATGTAAAATACGAACGCCATTCCAATACGGATTAAGTTTGTAAGTCTACGTACCACTGTAGTTCTTATATTCCATCCCTCTTCCTGCAGTGCCCCTGCCTGGGATTCATGGCACCCCCCTGGAGCTATGGCACACAGTTTGGGAATCCCTACTGTTCAGTAATGATACATGGGAATGCTATGAATTGGTAGCTGACATGGCTGAACTGAAACAATCAAATCATCAAAGGGAAAGCTTAGGAAGCTTGTTGAGATTAGATACAGGGTTGCAACAAAACCATAAACTTTAGATAGGAGCTGTCTCAAAAAAACCATTATAGTCAGTAGGCTCACAGATCCCTTGGTACAGATTAGTTTTATTGAACCACTGCAAAGAAAAGAACAGGTCACATGATGATTTTGATTGCTTTGAGACAATTGGAGATGACAGTCTATCCAAAATTTCTCTGTAATGTACATGGCATTTTCATAAAAGATCATGCATGGAAGACAGATTACGCATCTTTGTTTATCTAAACCAAAGTATCTGGAAGAGGCAGTGGGGTTGGTGTGACTGATGAAGACCGCAGATGGATGAGAGTTGTAGTCTCTTGAAAGTAGATGAGAGAGGCTAATTTGAAGTGAAACCTGATGGTTCTGCTTTACACAGTGTTGTTCACTGGGTTAACTACAAAAGTATATAGTCGCTTTGAAACGTTCTCAGCAAGAACAGAGAGAAATATTCTCATATTGGATAATCTCATATTGGATAATCATTTGGATAATCAAGAAAAAAGATGGACTATTTGGGAAGAAGCTGCTGGCGATGCCAGTTAGAACATAATCAAAAGTCTTGTTCTTCAGATATGGCATGAAATAAACAACAGAGTGGCAAGAAGTCTTGGGACTTGCTATATTGTACATTTTGCCATTGTGGAACTCATTGACTGTGCTGGAATCTACCGTCCCTGGACTGCTCCTGTTGTCTTAGTGACAGAAAAAAAGAGATGGCATTATCAGGTTTTATATGGATTACGAATGGCTAAACAATGTTATTATCAAGCATTCATATCCACTACCATTAAATAGATCCCTGATTTGCCACTGCTCAGCCTTAGATTTAGTTGATGAATATTGGCCTGTGGAGATTCTTCAGGAAGTTATTTTCCATTAGAATCAGCTCCTGATGATGCCTGTGATGAACTAAGGGCCTGTCTGGCTGGGGGAATTTGGAGAGGTCTAGTTCAAGCTTAAGGGACGTGGTGGCGCTGCGGGCTAAACCGCAGAAGCCTATGCTGCAGGGTCAGAAGACCGAGCAGTCCTAAGATCGAATCCACGGGACGGAGTGAGCGCCCATCACTTGTCCCAGCTTCCGCCAACCTAGCGGTTCGAAAGCGTGTAAATGCAAGTAGATAAATAGGGACCACCTCGGTGGGCAGGTAACAGCGTTCCGTGTCTAAGTTGCACTGGCCATGTGACCACGCAGGATTGTCTTCGGACAAAAACGCTGGCTCTATGGCTTGGAAACAGGGATGAGCACCGCTCCCTAGAGTCGAATACGACTGGACAAAAATTGTCAAGGGGAACATTTACCTTTACCTAGTTCAAGCTTAAAAGGTGCTTATCTTCAGTGTGATCTATCCTATTTCACACTTGTGCGAACCTTCTGCTCACACTGAAGATAATTTTTCTCCTGTGAGAAGGGTCTACACATGTTTTTGGCTTGCTGGTTTACTTGTGTGTAAAGTTCACATGGCTTATGCATGTATAATAATAACCTGGTTTATTCATGAATAAGGAGGCAGCAGAAACAGCAGCAGAGGACAGCAGTGATACCAGCATGAGGGGAAAATGCTGGGGTGACAGAAGGGAGGTAACCTCTTCTCCCCCTTTCTCCTCAGCTGAGACTCTGCTGGGGTTGTGCTGTCCTGTGGGGCAGGAGTCAACATAGCCCCCCTTCTGCCCATTTCCCCATGGCTGTCATTCAGCAGGCTGCGTTGACTTCCCTTTTTTGTTGTTGTTAAATGAAGTAAGGGGCATAGTGACAAAGGCTATCAACCTAGCATGGTGTACTCGTTATACATATTGTACTGGGAGACACCTTCAATAAATTATAATTTTGTGGTGTTAATTAGATTTTTTTTAAAAAAATGAGAATAAAGGAGCAGGTTTCTCCGTGATCCCTTTTAATGTCACAACCCACCTAATACATCAGATAATGCTGCCCACAGCTCCATTTGGATGTGAACTAACCATCTGCGCATCCTATACAATTATAGGATCATGCTAAAGAAACATGTTATGGGAATGGTCAGGTGGAAGGGAGTATAATGAAACAGATGTGGCTGATTGCAGTGGGTTTAAAGTACTGTATCAGGGCAGTGAAAGTAGGCAGCTGGAGAAAAAGAGGAATAGGAATATGAGGTTGAGAAAAGTAACTGTAGCACTGAGTTTCTTGCAAGTGCTTACCTATTATGCATCTGCTAAAACTGGTTGTCTTTATCCTTTACTTTGTGATGTTTTAAAATTATAAACAATATTTTTTTTATGAAAACTGCTGTTACTTTTAAACAGAGCTGTTGTGGATAGGTATGCTAATTGGCCACTTTGGACCAGGCAGAGCTCCAATGAGTTCAGGTTCTTTGAGTCTTGATGAAGACAAAAAGTTGCATATATCATACAGTGTATTGAAAGGAAACATCCTGGG